CCTAGTATGTCTACAGGAGTCCACACTCACGTCGTCATGCAGGCTCTCGCCTCACTTTCAACTACTTTCCATGTGTGCCTCTACATAACGTCGATCGCATCGCACAAAAATGAGGGCGCAAACGTACAGTCCTCATCATCGCGGACCGGTGGGGCGTGTCAGTGCGGCTCCGTCTTCCGCAGCGATGAAGTAGTTCTGCACCAATTGTTGAAGCGGGCAAATGACATTACTGTATTATATCCTTCGTATTACTCGTTTTCTACCACTTTTTGTCGCATACGCGTTTCAACAAAAAAGGCTGAGAACGGCTTCAACAGTGTGCGCACTCCTTCTGGCGCCCCACCGGTCCGCAATGGCGAAGACTATTACAGGGGGGGGGGGGCAAAAAAAGTCATTCCGGCCGAGTCACATATGAGCGAAGTTTTCGCAGCCCAGACAGAGGAAGTGGATATGAGTACCAGGGCGGAAGATACCCAAGATCTTCCTCTATAAGCAGGAGCCGGCTGCCGCCATTCACCTTCATGTACACCAAAATATGAAGTCATCTCCAGTCGCGGCCTGAGTGGAGAACGCCTTTGGAATTCACGTGGCCTCCAAACAGCTGCGGAACTTCTTGAATGGAATCACCCATGGATAGCTACCTGGAGACCAGTACTCTTGATCTGCAAGACCTCAACATCGAGCAGCTCCGGCAACGTCGCTACGGTCCAGGACATCATCTTCACCCCATTCACCAAGGCGCGGGTTGATGGTGTGGACCGGCCGTACCTGGAATGGGAAGACCGATATTTTCTTTGTAGACCCCGACTGAAGGTGAGCGCTGGCGGTTACATCAAGTAACTCGAGAAGGATATCCTCCCTACATGTGGTCGCCCGTACCTTCTTGGAGACCTTGTGCTGCTACAGGTTTGGGTGCCACCACATGGAATCGAAGGGTTTTGGAAAAACTCCCGCCTACTTCGATGGAAGGGCGTTTCGTACCTGATGAAGATGTAATATTGAAATATGTCCCCTGACCTGAACCCACTCAATTACCTAGTTCGGGCGGAGCTCAACAGGGTGGTCTACAGTGGCGGAGAAATCAACGATCTCGCTCAACTCCGGTACCCACTCACTTTCGCGCGGCCGAATCTCTCGATGGCGCTCCTCCAGAAGGCTGTGGCGGAGTATCCTTATAGTATTTAATGTGCTCTTTAATATGGTAGTAAAAATGTCCGATAAAAATTTGGAGAAGTGTAAACTTATACGCGCCTTTGAAAGTCCATGGAGCAAAATGCTTCTTTTTGCCCCCCCCGCCCCTATATATTGTCACCCGCAGGGCGTGTTGAATTCAGTGGTACTCTCGTTATGTTGTCCCTTACTAGCCCTTAAAAGGTACTGCCTCTTTTTGTCACAAATAGAATGGGCACTGTAAAGGGAGCGACGGCCAGTTTAGTTAGGAAAAGTGAGGGTTGTTTAGTCAAAATGGGCAACCAGCTGTTTTTCGGGCAAGCATACTCGTAGATTCTTTTGAAGCGAGCCTCTGAGTGCAGGCCAGGGAGCGAATAGCACAAAAGGCTCACCACTTCACTTCCACGTTGTCGAGGTTGTGATTGCTGTTCTGGGACCTGTAATCACTCGCTTGTTTTTACTATGAAAGTTGCTGTATGACTGCCAACATCGGCTACCATAAAGGCTGCTCGGCGCAGAGATCTCATTCAAAAGATGGCAAGAGTATCTGACTCTCCCGGTTAAAATTTTCAGGTTGAACCTTTTCTGAGGGGCTGATCCCCTCCCCTCGATGACACTGGTCTCTCTTTCTGGGTACATCATCACCCTCAGAGACCTGAACATTTCTCAAGATCTGGAAGTTGCTCTCTCTGCGCCGCCAAGCATATTGCTCTAGAGCAACCCACCATTAGTTCAGCGAATTCGCAATCCTCAGTGGTCCCCCCACCAGCAGCTCGTAATGCATACTGAGCAAATGCCAAGGAGTCATTGTCATGACACTTCTTACGAATTTCGCGTGCCAGATTTCACGTGGACCCATAAGCCGCTTCTGGCGCTACCCACAATCTTAGTCTCTCACGCCATTTAGTGTGTCCTTCACTCGCTTACCGACGAGGCTGTTGTATTACCGCACCTTTTATCAGCGAGCTGTGCCTCTAGTGCGCATTGGTAGCTTTCAACCAGTCTGCCCGATGTCTCTTGCTGTCTCTTGTTCGTTTTGCACTATCTTTCTTGGCATTCCGATACAATGCTACTACTGTACCTTGTTTGCTTCTCTTTGCTTCCGTTCTGATTCGCCTTTTTTTAAGTTTATCATCTTTGACAGGCTCTTTACTTTTCTTCCGATTAGTGGGTTGGGCAGCTCCTCCGCTAAACATACAAACATTACAGTATATATTTTCAAAGCAGTTGAATGGTATTACAATAATGATGATGCTCCGGAGAACGCTCAGAGAACGAAGACCCGAAAACGTTGACTTCCACTGTGAAGGACATATACGATAGGGCTAAGGCATCTAGACGCATCCCACACGTCTCGACAAGTAAGTAGACATCATGATTGGGTACACTCATGCTGGGGCGCTGAAAACCATCCTCTACGCTGCAACATTTCCCCGATAGCGGATGGCAGGGCAGGGTGGGCAAGTAGGTAGCTGGATAAGCACTCTCGAGAATGGACCTGCGACCGCACGTGAACAAGATCAAGTTACTGCAGCCTCCGTGGCACGAAACCACCGTAGACGTAGAAGGCATGGGAAAGGGTCGAGGATTCCAGTACCTAGGGAGCAACCTAGTAGTTGATGGTTAGCGTGGAATACTAGACGCTGAAGGCTCGAATAAATGAAGCCTGGATGAAATGGAGGAAGTGCACAGGCATGTACTGCAACCGCGGGTGCTTGAGAACACGCAAGGGCGATTGTACCGGGTAGTGGTAAGGGCGTAATGGGCGATCCCTTACGGGCAGCGTGCCTGGACCAAGATGCCAAATGCATATGACACGAAAGGCGCTTTGCGCTTCAGCTAAATTGAGGATGCTGAGAAGACCTGAGGCTGTACACGATTAAACAGAGTCAGGAACGAGGACGAAGGGGTCAGAGCGGTCAAATAGACGTTTCCCACAAAGCTGAAGACGTGGCTTACTGAATGCGATGCAGCCTAATGAAATGACTTGCGGGGGCCAACTGATGTAAAAGTCAGTGTTCTTGTCCTCCCAGACAACTCTGGTACCGATTTCCCGTTCCCGGAGGGCAGAAAGCTTGGATGGCCTGGGCAACAGCGATCCTTATGTTATGTTGTATGGGTGAATTCTTGCTTGTTAGCGTGGAAAATATGTCAGCCGTTTCCCCTTATCACCTCAGCAGTCGGAACACAATGAGCGGAACGACCACGTCACCGAAGCTTTTAGAAGTAATATCCGTCATTCGGCCAACATCGAGCATCCTTATCACATATATTGGATAAGGATGTTGGTTTCGCGCTAATCAGTCCGTGTTAGGAGGGGCGGAATGAGCCCGCCTCCAAATGCCTTGCTCCACCAATGGTGATCGGGTAGTGACCGGTTCGGGATCAATTGTAGAGAACGTCGCGGCTGGGCTCATTCCATCCCTCTTAAAGGCAGTTGGCACGATAATTTGGTACTCGGCCTAAAATGCTAGCAGGGCGCTATATAGTGGGGAAAATGGCGAAAGAACGGAGTGAAACGGTCAAAATCCTGCGAAGAAAAGCCTTCGTTCTCAATGACTAAAAAAATGCAATTTCCCGTAGGCATCTTGCCAATAACCGCTACCGAAGATACGGCTGCATATGTGTACCCATATATCCATGCAGCACCGCCCGCTTCATACCAATCCCTTCGCTTCATAATTTGCTTAGCAAATGAATCAATACGAGCGTCAGGAACGGTCGTCCATTTGTGGGCGGGCGGGCGTGGTGGGCGTTCGGGTCGGTATGTTGTAGCTTGATAGGGCCCTTATAAGGGTACCTTCTTTGGAAAAGGCGCTGCGCAGCGCCTGCTCAGGGTCGCGGGATTCCGTCCTGCCATGCGCATTAATCCTACTCGTCTTTGGGGATTTATCGTGCCAACTGCCTTTAAATCGCTCCTGCTGACTGCAATCATGTCAACTGTTCAGCTTCGAAAGAGGAGCATCCTCTGTGCTTGCGGTCCCGACCACGTTACTCACGAAAGGCGTAGCATCAACTAGCGGGATGTGCTAGCTTTGAAGACACGCGTTCGTTTAAAAATGGTGATTTGAGTGAAGTGGGGATTTTCTCAAACATTCGTGACAAAATGGTAGATAACGCAAAAAGTGAAGGACAAAGCACTAAAGACTCGCTCGAAATGCCCATATAGCATATCCATCTGGCGAAGAAAGAGTATGGTGGGTCGATTCTCACTGGTTGGTGGCAGCTCTCTCGCCTCACCATCTCACTCTCACCATTCGAAATGGAGCGAGCTAATAGCGGAACGACCGCACCATCAGGTAGCAGTTCAATAAGGATGGCGAGCGTCGCCCTGCTCAGTGGACGGAGTGGTTCCGCCGCCGAGCGAACTGCGCTTTCCTCACGCCTTTTTTTGAGCTGCGGGAGCAGCACATCC